ACGAGTTTTTACGCCGCTTTGCGATTCAATTGACGACCGATTTTAGAAATCCAATAAAACTAGAAAAAAAAAACAAATGTCTAAACAATACACCTAGAGGAATACACAAAAGCCCGTACAAATAATTAGTCTAAATGGCGAACACACCATGTGTGTTATAGAATTATATTGATAAATATGAGGGTGTTTCGGTTTTTTCAGTACTAAAAATATAAATTTTGACATGACATAATCTTTGAACCATGCACGGAAAATAATTTTCGGCTCCAGTAACCATAAATTATTGTAGCAATAACGACCTCTTGATATAGCTGGGAGACTCCCAGTGGGAGTACTGAATGTAGAATTTTGGAACTATTTTGTTGTGGCAACATAAATACTGTGATTAAAATATCAACTATAGTATATTATGGTTGTCCTAACGCATATAGATGATAGGACTCGTTAAAATTCAACAAGGGACAAAATCGGTCCTTAGAGGAGATCTGGTCTAGTTGTAACACTTTTGATATTCATAGCAGTATCTTATAAAATAATATTCACCGTTGGTTTTTTCTAACACCAACACATAGATAATGTTGTTTTATTTCATAACTTTGGTCAAAGCGGGAGTTCACATTGATGATCGGCGGTGTTTTGTTGTTAAGACTCCTGCAGGTTAGCTTGAAGTTATAACCTAACCTTTGTAGGTCCTGCAGCTTACCCACATGTGAGTAAGTCAGCTTGAGTAACCAGGTAGGTCTTCATCATCTCGGAGACGTAAAACTCTGTCACGTGGCGATCACACCGTATCGGCGGCAGCTAAGATTACATGTATTATTATTATGTACATTATTACTCTATGGATTTGACGCATATTAGCGTTTTGTGACGTGCCCCACGGACATTGCCGAACCGGAGCAGAATTTTGTGGGACCTTATATATATATTAATTTATCAATTATTTATAAAAATCTATATTTATTTATTTTATTATACTAACCTAACTAAATATATACTATGACCACATTTTGAACTGCCATTGACGATAAACAATTTTACAAGTGCACGCGTGTAGTACAATATTGTATAGTTGGTACGGCCTTAATTTTCGTCGATAACAACCCGTTTCCTGAGAAAACCACACGGGTCGCAATTTGCATACTACTGGGATTGTATTATTTTTATTTACAGATAAAGTGATATTCGTAATATATCATTTGCGAGGTCCCATACAAGCGCGGGGTCCGGTGCGGTCGCACTGCTTGCCACCCTCTAGGGCCGGTTTGTGGTCACTGCGGCACTGCACACGGATGTGCATTTTCTAAACCACGAATTCACGAAAATGTTACCGCAAAAACAAGAATGCATCACATCGAGGGATAATTAATGTGCAAAATCAATTATGATATTTTCGGAAGCAATAATTAGTGAGTAAAAATAGTCATGAGCAAAATGGTTTAGTATTATTTGATATTATTATTACATAATCCATCGATTATAATGACGGAAAAATATTACGTTCAAACATCTTGAGTCAACATTTTGTGTATTGATCAATGCTACAAAAAACGATATTGGAGTTGCTGTATTGATCCGCATATAATACACATACTTTGTTATATATCGTTATCGTACAATTTATAACTCGTATAAGTCGATATATTGATCAAAAACCCACTTCTAATTAGTTATATTATAGTCACGTTTGTTGGAATGTTAGAACTTGAAACTAAGAGAAAGCCATAATACTTATTTTTCATATTATTGCATTAATCTATTTAAGTGCCCGGGTACCTTTTGAAATGTTAAAATTGGGACCCTTCAATTTAAGTCAAAGAATAAGGGGGCCGCATTTTAACTGATGTTGCTCAAATTAAATGTAATTTATTCTAAAATATTTGGTGAAAAATAAATTATGTTTTATAATAAAAAATGTAAAATTAAACGTTCCAAATGTTCATGCAAAAACTTATTATTACAATATGACAGCTACAACAGACTATAAAAGTACAAATCATAAATAATTGAAGCTATCTGAAAAAAATATTTGAGATCAAAGGAAAACATATTTATTGGGACTAACAAATAAAATATTTAATTTATATTACTTCAATTATTTATATATTATAATTTATTAAATATATCTAGACGCTTTATTAAGAAAGCGCACTTAAGTATTGTAAGCATCCTCTGAAATACAGATATGTGCACGCCTATGACTGTATCATTTATACATTTTGATAATATATATAAATATAAAGTATTATTAAGATTTATTATAGTGCAAAAAAGGAGAGAGTGATAAGAGCGAATCTCCTGTGGGTTTCTAAGTTATTCACAATTTGTTCACGCCCAAAAATATTTGTTTGGTAGTGCTTATGCATCTAGGTGGATAACAGAATGGCTACAGTAGTAAACAAAGATATATAAATCTTGGTTTGGCATAAATATTAAAATAAATAACACATTTTTTTTTTTTTATAATATAATATTATACTTCTTTGTATATTATTTATTTACATTTTTTAAAAATAAAGTCATTTAGCAAATATTATAGTTTCAAAAAAAAAAAAAGAGAAAATACATATTTCTTTTATATTAATATTCATTGTATAACGTAAATAATAAAAATTATCATTGTATAACATTTAAAAATTTCTCTTCTTAAATTTTTTTGGCAAACCTAAATTTATAATAATCATTATAGTTTACAACACGCTAATATATAATATATTGTTTGTTTTTAAATTCAATCACTCCAAATAACTATTTAATAAATTATTAAAAATAAGTTAAAATTATTATAAAAACACTCTAAAAATCATGGTTGATTAAAATATTAAATAACTGCATTGAAGAAAACTAGGCAAGAGTATAATATATAATAATATATAAATAATTTATTACACAAAAAGATTGATTTTCAAAGAATAATGTATTATATATAATATGCGTTAATTTTAAAAGTTGATATAGAAAAATATTATATTATCTTATTTTTAATGTCGAAGGTTTGTTATATTTTCACCAAAAATCGATAATATACATCGTAATAAAAACTAAAAGTAAAAATATTCTCAATTATTTTATAATAACAAGTAATACACAGCCAGCTTATGTATTTCCATTATTTTGCCTTGAGAATAGGTATAGGTTATAATGTACGGTTTTGTATACAATAAAAATAATAAATAAAACACTTATAATTAACGAATATTTGATGAAAAATTTCAAAATAAAATCAACTTTTAAACATAATATATGCATTATATTGTATAATATGTTTGTGTGTATTTTATCAATAAAATCTCTATAATAGAATATATAGTAAAAATAATTCATTAATTCAAAAAAATATAAATACATACAATATATATACATATATATACAATATATGATTATTACGAGTTTATCCAGATTGATCCAAGGACACTCATATTTAAATTGCTTATCAAATGTATTAATATTTATTTTAGAGATTAATATTCAAATTAGCATTTTCACTTTAATCAAAAAAATGTTCAATGCGATACTTATCATTTAAGCACCTCGCCTAAAATTAATGTAATATACTTTATAATGAGATCGATCACAAATGAAATTTCTCTTAAACTTTGGCTTTTGTTAAAGATTTGAATCCAAGCTATGTTCCCCTTAAAAATGTTATCGAGATCAAAAAAAAAAAAAAAGAAAGAAAATATATATATATATATATATATTTATAACAAAAAAAAAAATTAAGTCTATCATTTTTGTTTGAACACATCTGAATTATTAAATTCTTAATTTACATTAAGACTTTTTTTTTATTAATTTTTTTTTTTTTATTTTACACATTTTTATTTCCAGAACAATTTGAGCTTTTCATTTAAGAAGCAAACTTAAAAAAAAATTATTTCTTTTGGAAGATATGTTAAATTGGGATAGGAGATTGTCTTAGAGAGCATTTATATAATAACAATGAATACATATATTATAAATTATACTTTTTTATAGACCGCATGTGACTTGATGAATTGATTATTTTTCACTACCATTTAATTTTCATTGATATAAAATAACACATAAATACTAAAAAACTTTCTATTCTAGTATTTAAATAAAATGTAACAAATAATAATATTTTATCTCTTAATAAACATAAAAATTGTCACATACGTTTACTTAAAAAATCAAAATACAATAAAATAATAATAGTAAATACGAACTCAAAGAGCAATTGGTAACTAATTATAATAATATAACATAATTTAAACAATAAATAAATCAAAGTAATGCAACTCCAAGTAAAATAATGTAAATATATAACTATATTTGGGAAAAAACGTGCAGTTAATTGAAAAGCAAAAATCAATGTAAATTAAAATGCTTGTTCTCGATATTTTTTTATACACTAGTATACTAATATGTCATTTGAAAATGTAGATAAAAAATTAATTTATGCATGTTTAAAAATTATAAAACAGTAAATCTAAATATTATATATATATACATAAATGTGTATGTGTATATAGTAATTATAATTTTTATTCTCAAAAAGTTATTGCTTTATCTTAGGATATTATTTTGTTGTTTTTCCTTTTTTTAAAAACTAAAACTTTGTCTTTTTAAAATTTATAAATATGGCTTTTATATCGGATAGATTAATACAAATTATTATCTTCACAACAGTCAAACATACAAAGTATGTTATATCGACTGATTGAATAAATAATGTACGTCCTAGGAACTTTTTCCAAGTACTAAATCATTAAGTTTATAAATAAAATCTTTTATAAAATTAAATTTTATAAGTATGTATTTTAAATATATATATATATATATGTATGTATGATTTACAACTAGATAGTATAATTATTAATATTATATATATATATATGTATAACTAAGTTTACTTAAGTTAATAAACATTTTTTTTAAACATAAAACGGGATACAAACTCCTATAAAATATGATATAGAAGAAAAAAAGGGTGAAACGTTAAACGTTTGATAAAAAATAAAAATAATAATAAAAAATAAAAGGAAAAAAAATTGTAATTTTGGCAGTTAGCGTATTGGTGCAGATTATCAGCATCCGCGTTCTCTCGATATATACGTTAAATATTCTTTACGCCAATTGAGTGGTTTCGAGAGAGCCGACGAATCTGGTGCACGCTTTCTTCCACTTGCACTGCGTACACCATTTCTCGCGGTGCTCCATACCGTACACCTTACGACACTTTTTCGTCTCGCCGCGCGCTTTTCTCATTGGACTGCTCGGGAACCTGGGTCCGCCCAAATTCTGGTACATCATTTTGATCTGTTTCTACGCGTTCGAGAAGAAAGACAGAGAAAGAGAGAGAGAGAGAGAAAAAAGGAAAAACATTAAAAATCAGCACACAAGAACCGGCAGTGCGAGACTGTAGACATATATTTCTATATAGGCACATACCTGTCCGTTTAGAGATGTGAACGGCCAATGACCGGTGTTGTTTGACGTCCTGGGTATGTTTACTGGGCAGGCACCCGGACGGGGTATGATCAACGTCTTCTGGTACTCGGGATCTATACGGGGGAAAGAAAAACAAAAAAAAACACAGGGTTAACACAGACTTATGCAGAGGACACGCACACGCGTAAAGTAAGAATAAATCGTACGAATAATGATCATCTTATTGGTCGCGCATCCTTTACCTTCGTGCGGCGGACGGGCCATATCACGGTGCGACAGGGTCGGCGGCGAAGACGCGGCGCCCAGTTCCACTTCCGTGTAATAGAATTCCTCTTCGTGATCGTCGATTGAATCGTTCGTCAGATCATCCAACGGTGATTTTTCACGTCTAGGTCTGAAAATCCAAAAAATAAACGGTAACGCCGAATAAGACAAACGTAGAGATTTGGAAAAAAATAAAATTGCAAATTCCTCCTCCCCGTCAACGTTCCACACGCGGCTAATCCGTCGCAGAGGCGAGTTCGAATTTATCGTTTATTTTAGCGGCGCTACGTCCTCATTGTTTTATATAACAAGGACGAACTGCAGGCACGGTGTATGTGTGTGTGTGTGTGT